CAGGAATACAAGGCATGGACCATGCATATGCTGTCCAGGGCACAGAGCTGCCTCTGGCTATAAGGAACATTCATGGAAGCCATGGAGTCCAAACAGGTTAATTCAAATTTAAAAAACAAACAAAAAGCTAAACTAAAATGAGTCAGGAAGATAAACTGGTGCTTCCATCTTAGACGTTGCCACTCTCATTGTCCTTTGCAACTGACCTGTCCGACTCTGGTCTCCATTCTCTGCTCCCATCTCCCCCTTCCTGATGGCCAACAGCAGAAATAAGATCCAAACCTGCATCTGTCTTTATAGAACACAGTTTCTTGTGGGTCACATTAAAGAACCAGATACAAATTCTAAGCCTTAGTCCCTTGCTGTAACCTTATGGTGCAGCATAGCAGGAAGGCAGGAGAGAAACATAAAAAATCAAATATGCAATACAAAGTCACAGGCCTGGGAAGGCACAGACAATTTATTCATTTCTTCCTGCCCTAAGCGCCACCTCACTAGTCAGTAACTAGAGAAAGAGCAGACTAACCTCACATCAGAGATCTAACTTTATTTTGGGATTAGAAGGTAGGTCTGGCTGGATAGTTCATTTGTAGACTCCTGCTGAGGTTTTCCCAGTAAATATCCATAGGCCACAGTGACAACACCTAGCACATTAAGAAATCTGAAGGGCAAAAGATAGCTAAAGTGCCTCAGTTTGGGGGAGTGAGAGTGAGGAGACTTAAAAGCTGTTTTTATCCTATCTGAGTGACGACACTAATAATACCTATTGTGAAGTTAGTGAAAAGTGCCATAGCCATAGCGGTTAAAGTTACTTACAGATAGCTTCGTTACAGAGAGCCAAAGCGGCAGCACAGTCTCCCCTCTGTTCCAGATGCAGCGACTCTTCAAACACTGAATCTGCCTCTTGTAGGGACCTCTCAAAGCCGTCACTCCTCCCTGAAAGGGCCAGCACTTTTCATTTTCATAACAATCTGTTCCAACTTTTCCTATGTGCTGTTTTTTCCCTTCAGTGCACATAGATCATTGCTGCTGAGCCTCTGGTCCACCCTTACTCCAACTGACCGTTACTATTAAGAATTCGCTGAAACACGTAGGACATCCATTTTTGCCTTAGCTGAGACTTTACCAAAGTCATGAAAGAGGGGCATGTCATTGTCCACCACATATTCCAACTCCAAGACCTCTTAGGGAGGCCCTCAAGGAAAGAACAAAGTACTGTCTATAATAGAAGGGTGGGTTCTTATGCCTGGAACTGACGTGCTTCTCTACAGTGCAACAAGATACATCTTGGCAACCTGTGTTCAACGCCCCAGACCTCCACCGAGACCTCCACTGCTGTGTTAAGGCAAAAGTGGCTTCAGTACTCTGTGAAAAGCCATCTGTAACACTTCTTTCCTACATTAATTCATAGTTTTCTTTGTACCACCTGCACCTGGAAAATCAATACCCCTCTTGGGCACAGGTGTTCTACGGTTCCTAACTTCAATGTATCTACCAGGCCAGTGGAAATGCCCTTGTTCTTGGTTTGCACACACATACCTTTCATCAGCACTGCTAAGTATTTACTTCTATCATGCCCTTGCTCACCAAACCTACTGTAAAAAAGTCACCTTCCCTTTCAGTGAGCATAAGATGTTGCTTCCTCCCCTGAAAGTGAATGTGTGCCAAAGCAGGTGCAGGACAGTCTAGGGACAGTGCCACATGAAAAGCAAGAAAGTACTGTAAGGGCAACTTTTGTAAAAGAATTCTCAAGTTTATATATCCCCTTGCCTTTTACTCACTCATAACCATAAATTAGTAGTAAGCTGTAACCCAAGTTCACCTACAATGGGATTAATGGTGAGTTTTCACAAGCTCACAGGAAAAAAAAATCATTTCTCCCATAATGCACCTATCCTCCATTAACCTCCAGCTGGACATGGTAAGAAAAGCTCTTCCATACCCCTAACATTCACTCCCTAATTCACCAATAGCTTCGGAGAACAATGAGAAGGAAGTAGAAGTAACAAGTTGGTTCTGAAGATCTTGACATTTGGGTTCTACTCCACTGCTAGAGGTATGGTCCCTGGGGTACGGGGTACTCAGGCCTGAAGTTTTCTCATTATATCTGAAATCAATTGAATCTATACAACCTTTATAATCAGAGGTGGTGGCTAGAGCAATTAAAACAAAAAAAGTTCTCTACAGAGATATAGGCAAACTATATAGTTGGTCAATGATTGTACTAAATTTTAATTCTTATCCTCCAGAATCTTAGCACTCCATTCCTTGCTCTAAACCAAAGTGTATGGAGAACTGACAATGAAATACAGCCAGAGGGATCCACTCTCAACTCTAAGGCACTACCCAACTGACAGAGCGGGGAGAAAGGCAAGGGAGGAAGATGACAAGACCCTCTTTCAGAAGCAATATGAACCTGAGACACCAATGTGATATAGCTTAAGGACAAAAAGGAAGAAAAAACTATCGAAACATAGGGACATCTATGAAATTAGGAATGTAAACTAATTTGGAGACAAATACAATGCCTTGGAAAGTATAAAGCAACAATTGCCTTGAATCAAAAGACAGTAGGATTAGAATAGAAAAGCAGCCCCCAAATAAGCCCAGGAAGTTTCCTAAGTGTTGATAAGAAGAAAGAAGTGATCAAAAGAAAGCAGCCCCCCAAAACAGCATTGGCTCCTATTCTTTACACTACTTTAGCACAATTTGTTGCATCTGGAGGTTCTGAATAATAAACTCATTTCATAGAAAAATACAGATATAGGTTTCAGGGCCTATTTTAAATAGATACCTCAGCCTTTTTGAACTCTTATTTTGAAGGCTAGTCTCTGCTGGTACAAAGTGATGTCCTAAAGCAATTGAAGGGAGAAAAATTAACTAATGTGGGGCAGCTGGAGAAGCTGAAATAAAGTCCATGAAAATCGTGTGAGATTGGGATATGAATCATCAGAGGATCAAAAGGAAATTAGGCTCTGTGTTCTTTGAACCTGTTTGGTAGATCCACTTCCCGGAAGCTCCAGGTAGGAAATCTCAATGGCATATTTCTGCTGAGCGAGAAGAATTCCCCTCACTGTCAGTGTGGCTCACTCACTGCCTTTTTCTGCTGTTTCTGAATTGTGAGTAGTTTAATTTACATCTTATATAGCTGTTCATCAGAAATATTTTTCATGAACAATATACTACCTCCAATCTACAAGCTTTTAATAAATGGGCCCCAAATCAGTGCCTGTCTCTAACCAATAGGCCTGTCACCTCCTACTTTAACTAGCTCTCACTGAAATGGCTGAATTAAGATAAAATATAACTTGGCTAAAGAGAAGACAGAATTTATGAGCTTGAATACTTTTTTCCTCCCAGCTTTCTCTGTCCCCATCACCCACAACCTAATGCTCACAACAATTACCCTGATTCTGCAGTTCATCTAAGTCCATGAAGCGGCTGGGATGAGGGTTAAACCCTTTAGCTGCCTCTAATTCCTTCTCTCGTTTCCTTTGAAGTTCCTGTTCCTGGGCCCTTCTGGCCACCTCTTCCTGCAATTCATCCAGTTCAGTTTTGGAAGATATCTCCCCACCTGGAATAAAAGCAAGGGAGAAGAGAAGTCGCCACATTTCCATAACGAAGACTAAGCACTTGCTGTATTTATGGCCACAGCACTGCTTTTCCTTTGGAACTCTTGGCTTCAGTTTGGAGTTCATATTTGCATAGTGCTTTCCATTTCAGATTCAGGATGATACCTAGGCCATGAATAATAATAATATTTATTGGGTGCTTTATAACAACAATAACAACATGACAACTAACATTTGTTGAGTATTTACTACGTGACAGGCATAGCTGTAAGCACTTTTACATATGTTATTTAATTCTCACAATAATATATGAGGTAGATACTATTATTGCCCACATTTTAAGAATGAAGAAACTGAGTCACAAAGATGATAAATAACTTACCCAAGGTAACAAAAATGGCAAACGGTAAAGCTGAATTAAAGTCAAATAAGTTAAATTCATAATCTGTGCTTTTAACTATTAGCATTCTCTACCATGTGCTACAAGTGACTCACCAGGAAGCTTCAAACAAGTCAATTTCTCCCTCTTAATTTCCACCACCTTTTTAATGAGTTTGGAAAATATTGATAGTAGTAAAAATTTAATTTTTTCAGTGTTCACAGATGGAACCAAACAGATCTAAAAGGATGCCCATGATATATTAAGTGAAAAATCAAGTGACAGAGTATCTATAGTATGACTCCCTTTTATTTATTTATTTATTTATTATATTTTTTTTTTTCCGGTACGCGGGCCTCTCACTGTTGTGGCCTCTCCCGTCGCGGAGCACAGGCTCCGGACGCGCAGGCCCAGCGGCCATGGCTCAGGGGCCCAGCCGCTCTGCGGCATGTGGGATCTTCCCGGACCGGGGCACGAACCCGTGTCCCCTGCATCGGCAGGTGGACTCCCAACCACTGCGCCACCAGGGAAGCCCCCTTTTATTTTTAAATGCTAGTAATAAACTTACCTATGGACAACTAGGGCGCCTACCAGATGCTGGTGGGGGACCTCAATGCCCAAGGAGGCAGGAGGAACTCCCAAGTGACCCGGTAGAATGCTGGGGGACTAAGGGGGGAGGAGAAGTGGAGGTAGGACAGGACCTGCACCCCCAAGGGGTGGCTGGGAGCAGGGAGGGGCTCCCATGCCTGGAGGGAGCCTCGGGGGCTCGGATCAGGGGGAGCACGCCTGGTGTTTCCCCTACCCAACTGGCCCAGGAAACTTGCCCAGCTCTCAGGCCCGGTCCTATGCCCTCAAGAGGCCCCTTCTACTACATTGGTTCTAGGGGCATATGAGGGAGGCTGGAGGAGAACAGGAGAGGCAGGCGGGATGGAGGGGCCCTCCAGGACGGAGGGACAGGAGAGTCACAGAGGGAGTGTGCCCTGCCCACTTGGGCTGGGAAGCCTGCGGGGCTCCCAGGCTGGGTCCCCCACCCCCTAAGACCAGAGGCACGCCTGGACCCCTTCTGTTGTGTTGAGCCTAAGCCCCACCCCCGTGGCCTTTTCCAGCCCTGTGTGTCCTAAGCACAGGCCCCACCCACCACCTAAACCCCACCCATGCCTAAGCCCTGCCCCCACAGCCAAGGCCTTTTCCACCTTTTTTTTTTCTTTTTTCCCTTCCTCTTTTTTACTATTGTGGTTCTGTTTTACCTTCTGGTTGTTGTTTCATCTATGTTTTTATTTTTATTTTCTTTCTAACATATCTGTTAGTTTCCTAGTCTAATTTTATTTTTTACTCTTTGTTATTGTTCTGTTTTATTTTTTGCCACCCCACACGGCTTGCAGCATTGTGGTTCACAAACCGGGGGCTGGACCCAAGCTCCTGTGGTGGAAACTCCACATCCGAACCACTGGACTAACAGAGAACCTCAGACCCCAGGAAATATTCATCAGAGTGAGGTCTCCCGGAGGTCCTCATCTCAGCACCAAGAACCAGATCTACCCAAGAGCCCACAAATTCCAGTGCTGGAAGCCTCAGGCCAAAAAACCAGTAAGACAGAAACACAATCCCACTCATAAAAAAAAAAAAAAAAAAAAAAATGAGCCAGAAAAAAAATATGTCACAGATGAAGGAGCAAGGTAAAAACCTACAAGACCAAATAAATGAAGAGGAAATAGGCAATCTACCTGAAAAAGAATTCAGAGTAATGATAGTAAAGATGATCCAGAATCTCAGAAATAGAATGGAGATACGGATTGAGAAAATACAAGAAATATTTAACAAAGACCTAGAAGAACTAAAGAACAAACAAACAGAGGTGAACAACACAGTAAGTGAAATGAAAAATATGCTAGAAGGAATCAATAACAGAATGACTGAGGCAGAAGAACCAGTAAGTGAGCTGGAAGACAGAATGGTGGAAATAACTGCCAAGGAGCAGAATAAAGAAAAAAGAATGAAAAGAATTGAAGACAATCTCAGAGACATCTGGCGCAACACTAAACGTACCAACATTCGAATTGTAGGGGTCCCAGAAGAAAAAGAGAAAAAGAAGGGTCTGAGAAAATATTTTTGAAGAGATTATAGTGGAAAACTTCCCTAACATGGGAAAGGAAATAGTCACCCAAGTCCAGGAACTGCAGAGAGTCCCATACAAGATAAACCCTAGGAGAACCACACCAAGACACATATCAATCAAACTAACAAAAATTAAATGCAAAGAAAAAATATTAAAAACAGGAAGGGAAAAGCAAAAATTAACATACAAAGGAATCCCCATAAGGGATTTTTCAGCTGATTTTCCAGCAGAAACTCTGCAGGCCAGAAGGGAGTGGCCGGATATACTTAAAGTGATAAAAGAGAATAACCTACAACCAAGATTACCCAGCAAATTTAAGAAAATTTAAGAAAACTGAAATCGTACCAAGCATCTTTTCTGACCACAATGCTATGATATTGGAAATCAATTACAGAAAAAAACTGTAAAAAACACAAATACATGGAGGCTAAACAGTGTGCTACTAAATAACCAAGAGATCACTGAAGAATCAAAGAAGAAGTTAAAAAATACATAGAAACAAATGACAATGAAAACACAATGACCCAAAACCTATGGGACACAGCAAAAGCAGTTCTAAGAGGGAAGTTTACAGCAATTCAATCTCACCTCAAGAAACAAGAAAAATCTCAAATAAACAATCTAACCCTATACCTAAAGCAACTAGAGAAAGAAGAACAAAGAAAACCCAAAGTCAGTAGAAGGAAGGAAATCATAAAGATCAGAGAAGAAATAAATGAAATAGAAACGAAGAAAACAATAGCAAAGATCAATAAAACTAAAAGTTGGTTCTTTGAGAAGATAAAATTGATAAACCATTAGCCAGACTCATCAAGAAAAAAGCGAGAGGATGCAAAGCAATAAAATTAGAAATGAAAAAGGAGAAATCACAACTTGACACCACAGAAATACAAAGGATTATAAGAGACTACTGCAAACAACTATATGCCAATAAAATGGACAACCATGAAGAAATGGACAAATTCTTGGAAAGGTACAATTTTCCAGACTGAACCAAGAAGAATTAGAAAATATAAACAGACCTATCACAAGTAATAAAATTGAAACTGTGATTAAAAATCTTCCAACAAACAAAAGTCCAGGACCAGATGGCTTCACAGGCGAATTCTATCAAACATTTAGAGAAGAGCTAACACCCATCCTTCTCAAACTCTTCCAAAAAATTGCAGAGGGAGGAACACTCCCAAATTCGTTCTACAAAGCCACCATCACCCTGATACCAAAACCAGAAAAAGGTATCAAAATAAAAGAAAATTATAGACCAATATCACTGATGAACATAGATGCAAAAATACTGAACAAAATACTAGCAAACAAAATCCAACAACATATTAAAAGGATCATCAACCACGATCAAGTGGAATTTATCCCAGGAATGCAAGGATTCTTCAATACATGCAAATCATTCAATGTGATACACCATATTAACAAATTAAGGAATAAAAACCATATGATCATCTCAATAGATGTAGAAAAAGCTTTTTACAAAATTCAACACCCATTTAAGATAAAAACTCCCCAGAAGGGCTTCCCTGGTGGCGCAGTGCTTGAGAGTCCGCCTGCCGATGCAGGAGACGCGGGTTCGTGCCCCGTTTCGGGAAGATCCCACATGCCGCGGAGCGGCTGGGCCCGTGAGCCATGGCCACTGAGCCTGCGCGTCCGGAGCCTGTGCTCCGCAAATGGGAGAGGCCACAACAGTGAGAGGCCCGCATAACGCAAGGAAAAAAAAAAAAAAAAAAAAACTCCCCAGAAAATGGGCATAGAGGGAAACTACCTCAACATAATAAAGGCCATATATGACAAACCCACAGCAAACATCATACTCATTTCCACTAAGATCAGAAACAAGACATGGATGTCCACTCTTGCCACTCTTATTCAACATAGTTTTGGAAGTCCTAGCCACAGCAATCAGAGAAGAAAAAGAAATAAAAGGAATACAAATTGAAAAAGAAGAAGTAAAACTGTCACTGTTTGCAGATGACATGATACTATACATAGAGAACCCAAAAGATGCCACCAGAAAACTACTAGAACTAATCAATGAATTTGGTAAGGTTGCAGGATACAAAATTAATGCACAGAAATCTCTGGCATTCCTATACACTAACAGCGAAAAATCAGAAAGAGAAATTAAGGAAACAATCCCACTTACCATAGCAACAAAACCAATAAAATAACTAAGTATAAACCTACCTAAGGAGGCAAAAGACTTGTACTCAGAAAACTATAAAACACTGATGAAAGAAATCAAAGATGACATAAACAGATGGAGAAATACACCATGTTCTTGGATTGGAAGAATCAACATTCTGAAAATGACTATACTACCCAAAGCAATCTACAGATTCAATGCAATCTCTATCAAACTGCCAATGGCATTTTTCACAGAACTAGAACAAAAAATTGCACAATTTGTATGGAAACACAAAAGACCCTGAACAGATAAAGCAATCTTGAGAAAGAAAAATGGAGCTGGAGGAATCAGGCTCCTTGACTTCAAACTATTCTACAAAGCTACAGTAATCAAGATGGTATATGGTACTGGCACAAAAACAGAAATATAGATCAATGGAACAGGATACAAAGCCCAGAGATAAACCCACACACATGTGGTCACCTAATTTATGACAAAGGAGGCAAGAATATACAATGAAGAAAAGACAGCCTCTTCAATAAGTGGTGCTGGGAAAACTGGACAGCTACATGTAAACGAATGGAATTAGAACACTACCTAACACCATACACAAAAATAAACTCCAAGTGGATTAAAGACCTAAATGTAAGACCAGACACTATAAAACTCTTAGAGGAAAACACAGGAAAAACACTCTTTGACATGAACCACAGCAAGATCTTTTTTGACCGACCTCCTAAAGTAATGAAAATAAAAACAAAAATAAACAAATGGGACCTAATGAAACTTAAAAGCTTTTGCACAGCAAAGGAAACCATAAACAAGATGAAAAGTTAACCCTCAGAATGGGAGAAAATATTTGCAAACAAAGCAACTGACAAAGGATTAATCTCCAAAATATACAAACAGCTCATGGAGCTCAATATCAAAAAAACAAACAACCCAATTAAAAATGGGCAGAAGAACTAAACAGACATTTCACGAAAGGAGACATACAGATGGCCGAGAGGCACATGAAAAGATGCTCAACATCACTAATTATTAGAGAAATGCAAATCAAAACTACAATGAGGTATCACCTCATACCAGTCAGAATGGCCATTATCAAAAAATATAGAGGGCTTCCCTGGTGGCACAGTGGTTGAGAGTCTGCCTGCTGAAGCAGGGGACACGGGTTCGTGCCCCAGTCCGGGAAGATCCCACATGCCGCGGAGCGGCTGGGCCCGTGAGCCATGGCCACTGAGCCTGCGCGTCCGGAGCCTGTGCTCCGCACTGGGAGAGGCCACAACAGTGAGAGGCCTGTGTACCACACACACACACACACACACACACACAAAATATATATATATATATAAACAATAAATGCTGGAGAGGAGGGTGTGGTGAAAAGGGAACGCTCCTGCACTGTTGGTGGAAATGTAAATTGATACAGCCACTATGGAGAACAGTATGGAGGTTCCTTAAAAAAACTAAAAATAGAACTATCATATGACCCAGCAATCCCACTACTGGGCATATACCCTGAGAAAACCATAATTCAAAAAGAGACATGTACCACAAAGTTCACTGCAGCACTATTTACTACAGTCAGGATGTGGAAGCAACCTAAATGTCCATTGACAGATGAATGGATAAAGAAGATGTGGCACATATATACAATGGAATATTACTCAGCCATAAAAATAAACGAAATTGAGTTATTTGTAGCGAGGTGGATGGACCTGGAGTCTGCCATACAGAGTGAAGAAGGTCAAAAAGAGAAAAACAAATACCATATGCGAACGCATGTATATGGAATCTAAAAAAATGGTACTGATGAACCTAGTAGCAGGTGATGGTACTGATGAACCTAGTAGCAGGACAGGAATAAAGATGCAGACCTACTACAGAATGGACTTGAGGATATGGGGAGGGGGAAGGGTAAGCTGGGACAAAGTGAGAGAGTGGCATGGACATATATACACTACCAAATGTAAAATAGATAGCTAGTGGGAAGCAGCAGCATAGCACAGGGAAATCAGCTCGGTGATTTGCGATGACCTAGAGAGGTAGGATAGGGAGGGTGGGAGGGAGGCTCAAAAGGGAGGGGATATGGGGATATATGTATGCATATGGCTGATTCACTTTGCTGTACAACAGAAACTAACACAGCATTGTGAAGCAATTATACCCCAATAAAGATGTATAAATAAAAAAACTTATCTGTGTACTTGTACATAGAATACAAAGCACAGAAAGAGATGTAGAAAGATACATGCCATAATGATAACAGTGGTTCCTTCAGTTTGAAGAGGCAATGGGCAAGTTACTGAACTGTTGGGCTAACATTTACTTCTGTAATTTTTTAAAAGGGTGGTCAGTGTCACCAGATTAAAAAAAATAGGGTTTACAATACAAAGAGGATGGTGGGGTGTATGGTGTGTGAGGAATTTATTCTAACTCCTTGCCAAATATCTTCTACCAGTTGAGGAATCCAGTTGGTGAATTCTATCCAGCTAATCTAGAATTAGGGCTATCAGTGAAATCATGAGACAGTCTTTAGTGTGATGAAAAGCTATTGGCTATCGAAGGAAAGAGAAGGGGGAACAGGCTCATGGAAGAGCACAAGTTTCTCAAAGCAATGTTAGTCAATATGAGATAAATTAAAATGTGGGAAATAAACCAAACCTATAATTTCATTAGGAAGAATGAATCTCTTCCATGGGTTTCTAACTATAACCTACTCTAGCCCAGGATTTCAGAGATATCTGCTTCTACAGGCATTGTTCTGCTCTGCCAGATGTTAGCAACCTATGGCACTCATACCTAAAAGAGTTCATGCCTTTTTATTTCTGCTGCATATCACCCTTCCAGCCACCTTTAAGAACTTTCAGTGGCCATTAAGAGAACTGGTGGTCAGACTAGTAATGTTCCTGGTGTCATCTCTACAGGTTGGCACATAATATTCTGTCCTCGTCTCCCTAGTGAGCTGGCCACATATCTATATTCAGAAGCTTATTAAACCAGACCATAGTTAGGTTTCTACCCACACACCCTACTCCCAATTGATCTAACATACCAGAAAAAAAAGGGATGAAACACATCTTTCAGAGAAGATTGATTTCTAAGTTAGACGAATGGACCCCAAAACTCCTCAGCCGACTAAACAATACTGAATACTCACCACCTTCCTTCAAGCATCACAAAAAGTCTCCACGTTAGGGAGACTACATACTTACCACCTCAATTTTCAGCTGTGAGTAAGGATTTATTTTACTTATTTGAATATGCACTGTAAGTATATATGTGTGTTGTGAGAAGAATGTAAAAAGGATATAAAACCTATGACTACCTCAAATGTCTATGCTTGGTGTCTCATACTTGAAATTCCAATATCCCTTTATCTTCAGGCTTTGAATTGTTAAAATGCTAGTTTCTCTTAGAGAAAGCATACTTTAAACTATTCTCAGTCACATACATCTAGTGTAAAAGAGTTAGATCATTCCTTTAAAGCTTGTTTTGAGAAGGAGGGACACAGGCACATTCAAGAAGGAAAAACAAAGCAGGGATACTAGACAGGATATAGAGGCAGGGGTAAGGGTAGTTCTGACCTGCTTATTTCCCAGTTTTGCCCATAGCCTACATGTCCCCCTTGTTATCTCAGTTCATAGTACTAAACAATAAAAAATCCATTCCCACGAGAATGCCTCTATACCAAGGAAAGCCCTAGGAGTTATTCTTCTGAGGAAAGCAGGTGCTACTGATACTGTTCACCGTATTTCTGTTCCTTCTTGCTCCCTCCAGGGCTCTCTCCAAGGTGGAAAGGAGCAAGCAGGCAAGCCATGATAGAGAACAACAACAACAAAAAAGATAAATCCAGAGATGGAGCAGATCAAATGTCTTCACATTTACATTCTGATGGAACAAAGTACAATTGTCCTCTAATTTCAAATGTGCTCAGGTTAGGCTGTTTCCCAAATAGAATTGGCAGTAAAATCCAGTTCTCCAAATCCAACGTCCTTGCGCTTACCTGAGAGGGGCTGATTCTTTGTCCAGCCACTCCTGGATACTGTGGAGTCTGCCTCCAGGATGCTACTACTGTGAGACTTTGGGATGTGACGCCAGGAAGGGGCCAACCCAGCTGATCTCTTAGCACTTGTATCCCTTCAAAACAGAAACCAGTCTAGTGAAAGCATCAGAAGGCTGATAACTAGCAACATTCCTAGGACTAAATTCCCTCCAAAAACTACAACAAAAACCCCAAACATCGAACTAATATAATTAAAATACCTGCAAAACTACTTCTGAAAATTGAAATACCCACTCGTTCCCCCATCTTATCTCACCTCATTCACATTTTGTGCATCTAGCAGTGTCTGGCACAAAACTTATTTAATGAATTAATAAACAAATGCTCTCATATGGATTGCCTTCCTCTTTCTTATACTTTTGTAGCATCTTCTCATGTGTAAAACTGGGTCTGATGTCAGGGAAGAGCAGTGGGAAAGTATGAGGATACGGTTGTCACTCTTACAGAAGATATCACTCCTTTCAAAGCTATACTGTTAGGAAACTTGTCTCTGAGGCAACTCAGTAAAAACAATATATGGAGATCTGAAATTTATAAAGCAAATGGGCCCTATGGACAGGGTGCAATGACCACTATTAAACTGTCATCATTATCTTATGGTATTATGAATATCACTGGCTTCATAAGACACAGAATCCCCAGTGATCTTAAATAAAAAAGCCTAATATAAACGGCAAGAATAAATAAAAATTGGGTTTTCTCTCTGATCGTATAACTATGTAAGTTTTGGTTCACTAACTCATTCTTCCAATAAAAGTTATTTACTAAACAATTATATTTTATACATAATACTTTAAAAGTTGCCTCTCCTTTCTCAAATGTCTTTGCTGCTTCTCCCAGCAGAGGGTACTGTTGCCATAGAAAGTTGATTGAGCACATTTTGCTTGCCCACAAGATGGTAATAAAGTCCATCTCTTCACTTGTCTGAGTTTAAAAGCCTCTTGGTGGCTCACATTTCTGCAAGGGACAATGCAGCTATTCAAAGGCCAAACAATACCTGCAGACATTCGAGCTCTCAGGCAGAGCTGCATCCAGGCTGACAGGGCTGCTGCTGTTCCTCTCACTGCTCTCATAGCCAGATTCCATTCGCTGGATTAGGCGAGGGTGCTGCTCTAAAAGGTGACAGCCTGGCCGTAATGGGCCCCAGATCTTGTACTGGGGTCTTGGTCCGCCAGTCTTAATGTTGTAAGCAGGTGGCTTGCTTAATTCATCTGGTGTAAATTCTTTAGCTATCCCAATGAAAGGACAAGTATGGAAAAGGAGGTAGATTTAGCATCTGCCTCAAATCAAGATATAACTAACCCTTCCCTCTAGCTACTCATTCACTGAACTCATATTCCCCAAAAGGCGACCCATGAGGGTAAAATTTTTACCCTTCAAGGTAAAAATGCACCTTGCCAAGTCTACCAGAAAACCCAGGTTTTTTTAAAAATACAAAAATCAACTTTATTCAAAAGCTCAATTCTTCCCTAATTATCTCCTTACCTGAATCCTCAGAAAAGGGGCTAAGCTGCGTATAGCCACAGTGCTTCCTTTTTTCCTTACTAAAGATACTGTCAATATTGAGAGACTCCCGTTTGGGTCTCCATGTTGGACGATACTTGCTAGAAGAACTGGATTTTGACTCACTGCTGGTACTCTCTACTTCCCAGTCACGAGAGTGTAAAGGCAGGTTCCGAGGAGGTTTTTTGTCAGTCTGGTCTCCTCCCCTCCCCGCACAGGGAGATCCTAGGTTGGTCTGAGAAACCAGGGATGGTCTGTTATGGATAATATTGCTGACTGTCTCTTTAAATTCCCTTAGCCTGTTGGTGCTGCTGGATGATTTGGAGGCATTCCTAGGAGCCTGCTTCTCTTTCAGTGTTTCTCCTAAAAACACAAAGGATGAAACAACTGTAAATGTTTAAAGTCATCACGGGCACCCAGACCCCAGAGCCAAAAAGAATGAAAGGCCTTTGAGCAGACAGGAGAAGCCACAGTTGGAGTGTGAGTGTGACAGAGTGAGTAAAGAAAGAGAAACTATGCAGGGGGGCTTGCCTTCACTGTGGTACCCTGAGGCCTGAAGCTCATCACCTTTCCTCCTGACCCGGCCAGAGCTCCTCTTGCGCTCTATCAGTGACCCTTTCTTGGATGGGAGTTTCTGATTACATTCACTATCAGTCAGGTGTCCTGAAAAAAACAAGGAAATGGGGGTAAGCTGGTATCTGAGACTGACCTCCATCCTTTAGAGAACCTACTCTCCCTTTGGGATTCATGGCAGTACCACAAACTTAGTGGATCGGAAGCTGTAGAGGCCAAGACTATGTGATTTAAGTGTAGCAGGAATCTCTCAATAGATAAAGGCAGAAAAGCTCAAGTGTTTAGTGGGAACTTCCAAATTTACAATGTCTCCTGAGCAATTACCAATCTCGATCCCACTCATAATCCTTCCCAGTGACCCAGAAGGACACATTACTTGGTAGTTTTTAAAAGGCAAAAGTTTTAAAGATTATATAAGAATATCATGGTAGCAACACATACCGAGTGAAGTTTAATTTTTATTACATCTGGTACTATCCTAGGTGCCCCAGCCTTTGCCCACAAGAGCTCTGATTGTATATGGCTTTAAGACCCAGTTCTAAATATTCCTTAAATGTGAATCATTCCAAAGGACATCTGAACTTTGAATAATTCTCATTCCCAGCCATAACCCATGCTTTACCAAACTTGACTTCACCCAGAGATTACACTTCATATTTCCTCAATACTAATCACTGGGAAACCCAGGAGATCTGGGCTCTTTTATGTAACTTGCCATACTTCACGCCCACAGTATGTGAATGTATAAGTATGATCTGACAACAGCAAAGGTCAGATTCTAAAGTATATAATCATCTAAACTCCTGGAAGCCAAAGGTGAATCAAGCAACTGAATTAAATTGGAATATAGGCTTATAGGAAATCCCCTAGGGTTCTCAAATATCTGAGAGCTAGCAGAAATTTGCTTCCGTATGTTAGTTACGAAAATCCTTGTACATATTCAGGTATGATATGCAATGATATGGCTACATATTTTCAATTACCAACGCAATCTCTTATTGCTTTTATCTAATCATTTGCTATCTCTGGGTCCAAAAGAAAGACTTATCAGTTGGAACAACTAAATCCACAAATGTAAAAACCAATGGGCATGCTCCCCCACCCCCAGCCATTCACAAACCCTTAAAGTAAACCTGACCCTCCTTATTTATCCTGTGACTTGGTTTCTCCCTGTTTCACAGTTTTAGAAATACAATCTAAAAAAATCACACTTTGCAGTAGTCATCTATGCAATAGTCATCAAAAGAAATCCAATATGAATCCAACCAAACCACTAGATCCAACTACCAATTTATAAAAAATATAGAGGACAGAGAAACACGCTACAGTTTACCATACAGACACAATCAGCAAAACTTAAAATGTGGGAAAACTACAGCACAAACTACCTAGTTCTTCAACAATAAATAGAAAGGAAGAAACAGAGGCAAAACCTACAGATTAAAGGAAATGTAAAAGACTTATTAACCCATCACAATGTGTAGACCTCATTTGGATTCTGAGTCAAAAACAAACCAACCATTAAAAAATATGACATTTATGAGATAATAGGATATTTGAACGCTCATTGGTTAAGAAGTTATTAATTTAAAAAATGATTCTTTTAGAGATACATACTAAAATATTTATGGAAAAGGTGATATAATGTCTGGGATTTGCTTCAAAATAATCCATGAGTAGGGGAAGTGGGCAGAGGCACAGATAAAACTAGACTGCCCATGAGTGATAATTATTGAAACTAGGTGATGGGTACATGAAGGGACTGTATACTATTCTGCATGCTTTTGAATATGTTTGAAATTCTCTCTCTTTTTTTTTTAAAGGGCATGCACAGGATGTAAACCACCAATCTGAAACCATGGGATCACTAATTCCCAAGTGTCTAAGAGTATGGGTACTGTTCTATGCCTTAGGTGATGAACTTTTCATCTCAGCAGTCAGTCACTTACTGTTCTTCCTTTTGTGCCCTGTAATGGTTTCTTCCACTGACACAGGCACAATCTTCTGTAGATTAATAGAACAATTCAAGAATGTTCTCTGCATGGAACTCACAATAACAAACAGGCTAGCTTTCCATCCTTTTATTTCTCTGTCCTTCAGGAAGCCCAGCAAGGTGATGAGCAGGTTTCCCCATCCATAAATATGCCCCTTCTCTCAAAACCCTTCAGGGCTTTGAAACAAAGCCTGGCATGAGAGGAAATGAGATGCAAGACCACAAGGTTTAATGGGGCACTATGAGAATGACAGGGATCAAGAGCACAGCAGGAAAAAAGCCTTCAGAAAAAGATTTCAGAATAAATAATCACATTACAATTGTCCTTACTGATAGGCTGCTGTTGACGGGAACATCATCATTCATTTAGAAGTGAGTTGCTTTCTTTCATCCTTCTCAATTACCCAAGTTCTGTGCATTTCCCCCTTTGCATGACAAACATTTCTGACTTGCCCCAGTTTCTTTTTCTTGGGAGACCCTCTATGCAGAACTGAATCAGGCAAGCAGGGTCCACTGTATAAGTCCCTACCTGTGTCCCGACTGCTCTGAGACGTGGAATCGTTCTCCACATTATAGATGACTGTTCCCTGAGAATCAGAAGAGAAGTGACTGACCACAGACTCATGGTGGGAGTGTTTGTAGGGATAGCTCTCCGTTGAGGAATCTGTTCGAGTATCACTTGAGATGGAGGGCTCCCTCCCTGAGGGAAGGAGGAGACATGCAAAGGTGAGGAAGGAGAGGACAGTGATAGGGAGGGGGCGAAGAGCTGGATGGCAACAAAGGTTCACAAGGTAAGAACTTCCTAAATGGAAGGGTGAGAAGGATATACCAGAGACGTTCTTCCCAACACCCAACTTCAGATAACCCAGACACACAATTCCTCCCACTCCTGCCCCTACCTTGCTGAAGCCCTCCCTTTGCCTGCCATTATGAAAAACTGTGGGGCTTTTAGAAAACCTATAGGGGGAAAAGTAGAAGAAAGGAAATAGTTGTGAAAGTAAGATCTACTTAGATGGCAAGTCCCACGCCAACCTGGCACACATAACCAGTTGTTTCCCTATCCCATAATTTTTCTCCTATACTGCCAGAAAAGTCACTTTTAAAAATTTTAAAGCATTTTTAATATCTATGAGACATTATGGGGTAGTTATTTATACTTTGGTGTGAATTAGTTCAATTAGACTACTTTCCTCTGAACATCTAGCTGAGATAAGCACAACAGTGTAAATGGGTGTTTGACTGAAGAGAGAATGAGCAGAGCAGGTCTGGGTGGGGCACAAGGGTGGGAAGAACATACCAAACAGGAGGGAGGTACAAAAGGGAGGGGAAAAGATTCCAAAGACAAGTATCTTCTCTTTCAAAATTATACTTAGGGCCAGCCAGCCTTAGATCCAGAAGAGGAAAAGAACATTACTTTTTCCTTTTAGGAATCAAGCCAAAACCATTAGGGTTGTATTTCTATTATAGGATGAGTTTCTGAGGGATGGCCTGAGACTTTAGTAATAAAGCTGCAACTGTTTCTATAGGAAAACATGATTTAAGTTCCAAATAACTGAATTAGAAGTGAAAGCTGATTCATAAGCTAAGGAATATTGCTACCACACTTGGCATTTTAAAACAAAAATCTCTCATCCCAAACAAAATGACGAGCTTTGTAGTAACTCATATCATTTTCTGGGTCTTAACAACTCAAGTCACTGTTAAACTGCTAGTAAGAATGAGTCATCTTAGCAATATTAGAAGGTTAAATAGTGAGGTTTCCCTCACAAACTTAATACCTCATAAATTCCTTCTAAATGAACATAATTGAACATAATTTGAACATAATTTCCTTCTCATTTTGAGAAATGAACATAATTTCATTCTCATTTTTGAAACGGGGCCAGGTGATCTAGACAATACATTCCTAAACACTGAAGGAAACAAAGCCTGGCACAACTTGGGCTTCAGCATGAGTTGGCACTTCTTTCTTATCTCTGATGAATCCTCTTTCTCCAAGCTAGGTTAAGTGCTAGGCTCATGACTGTGAGACCCTACTGTCCAGTCATCACATTGGAGTGGGGAGGGAGGAGTAAAGAGCTAGGCTGCTCACCTGAATCTTCACTATCGTAGCACGTCCTGCTGTACGACTGGAACTCAACTTGGGGGGGCAGGTCCTGGGTGGACACTGGGGTACCCTGGGGGTCTGCATAAAGCAGCAGCAAAGGCTGATAATGTCCCTTGATGCATTTGGTCACCACATCCTTCCATTTGGGCCCAATCTGAACCAGAAACAACCAGAAAAAGCATGAAAATTATACTTCATATACATAATTCAACACATATCTTTCTACTCTACTTTTCTAAAGAAAATAAAAGAGATGAAAAGACAAGAACTGGGTAAAGAAACAACAAAAGAGATCTTGGACCTAAACTTAATGAATTTTTTTTTCTTTTTTAATTTTTGGCTGCGCCATGTGGCATGTAGGATCTTAGTTCCCCAACCAGGGATCAAACCCACGTCCCCTGCAGTGGAAGTGCAGAGTCTTAACCACTGGACCTTCAGGGAGGTCCCAATTAATTT